CACCTTCCTCCAACGCAGCCCGCACACTTGCTGCCTGGATCCCTCCCTAATTGTTTTGCTGATAGTTTAAGGGGCATGTGTCCACAGAGCAAACTCCATCAAGAAGCCTTGACGCACAGCTGGAAACAGTCCAAGAGCTGTCCTCAGAGATGTACTGAACTTCAAGGGCAAAGATGTGATAAGCCTCCTCGGACTAACTGCATTCCTATGCCGAGCCAACCAAGTGGCCAAGTGAGCCACTTGGCAAGCTTAGAGGTTTCTAGTAGGTTCCATGCAATAGCCAGGATTACACTCCTGTATACACCTCTAATTACTTCATGTTTTTCTCATTTCGAGCTTTATCCCTCACTCCCTTACTGGGGAAATGAAACTCAGGGACTCATACATTACGTCCCTAGACACTACCACTGAGCTACAGTCGCAGCGTATTGGGTGCGAGACAGGGTTTTTGTTCTTGTTTTTTTATAGCCCAGGCTGATCGCAAATTTTCCATCTTCCTGCCTTGGCTCCTGTACCATCATTGCCCAAACCCAGCAAGATGTGCTAGATTCAAGTGGCTTGTATATCATGTCAAATTCCTGCTATGCACCGAAGCTCCATTCACAAAGGGAAACTGCTATCAGTCAGTTTTCTAAATAAGTTCACCCAGGCCTTCTCTGGCAAGGCCAAGACCATATCCACAGGTCACAGCTCTGGCACCTGTTTCTGCCCTTGTTACATCTCTGGGAAGATACTGCCACCCTGAGCGTTAACCCCTGACTGCTCCAAGACCACACCATCTAACCTCCAGAGCCTCCATGTGGGGACACCCTCAGAGCCCCAGTCCCCCTCAAGCTGGCTTGGGTTCTGCATCTAAAAGGAACTTGGTAAGGAAACTGAAGGTGGCTATTCCAAAACAAAGGCTAAGTGGACCCGCAGCAGAAGCCCATTAACACCCTACATGTGGACGGGCAAGGGTGGGAGTGTGACAGAGCTGTACAGTAGAAGGGACCGGCAAGCAAGCCCAGCCTTCCACATTGCAGGGACAATCAGGATGGTGACCTGTTTACATCACCTGCCTGTGAGGAGCTGACCACGGGCTGCTCACATGCCTATGCTAAGTAAGGTAGGGCACAGCTAGAGCACAGGCAACCTGAAGGAACAACCAGGCCATTAGGAAAGGTCCCTGGCCAGGCAACCTACCGTGACAACAGAAATTCTTCAGGTACGGCTGCCCAACTGACCTGCTGATGCGCAGAGATTCTACAAGGTCTGCACTAAAGGTCTGCACGGTTGCGGGATATTTGATCACATAGTGATACCCCAAGTCCGTTAATAAAGTTAACCTTGGGTTGGGGGTGGAGCCAGTGGCGAGCTGACTGGCATTAGGCATAGAGAAGCCAAGAATATGGATAGAGAAGACACACAGGAAGGAGTGGGGAGGGACTTTGCAGTCTCTTCCGTCTGAGAAGTGTGGAGAGGTCAACTGGTTGCTCTTCCACTTGTTTGAACTATCAGGTTTCACCCTATATTTGAACCCCAAGCCTTTATTGGTATTAGAACAACTTAGATAAACATATCATAGCACCCACAATTTATTCTGGGGGGAGGGGGTGTTGTCTTTACATAGGTCTTGCTATGTTGACAAGGCTAGCCCTTCAGTACCTGGTATTACTAAGTGCGAGCCACTCCGCCTGACCCTTTCAAATGTCCTTCCACATGGTATGAAAGGAGGGCTCAGCTACCCACGCTAGAAAAATGATCCTCCCTAAACAGTAGAAATGTCTCTCAGGCTTCCTGTGTGCAGGACAGCTGAGTGACCGTGTCTAGGCTGCTGCTTTAGAGGCATAATCTAGAAACTCCACCTGTGTGCAGAGTGGGAATCCGGAGGGTTCCAGACCCCTCTTAGAGACTCAGTTTGGTTACATCATAGAAACTGGACAAGCATGGGATAAAAATGTGTGGGTGGGAGGGGTAACAATAATAGACTTGGTGACTCAGGGAAGGCACAGCCACATGGTGGTCAGTGTATTATGTCTGTAGGGTTAGGGAAGGCACAGTCACATGGAGGACAGTGTATTATGTCTGAAGACTCAGGGAAGGCACAGGCACATGGGGGACAGTGTATTATGTCTGAAGACTCAGGGAAGGCACAGGCACATGGGGGACAGTGTATTATGTCTGAAGACTCAGGGAAGGCACAGGCACATGGGGGACAGTGTATTATGTCTGAAGACTCAGGGAAGGCACAGGCACATGGGGGACAGTGTATTATGTCTGAAGACTCAGGGAAGGCACAGGCACATGGGGGACAGTGTATTATGTCTGAAGACTCAGGGAAGGCACAGGCACATGGGGGACAGTGTATTATGTCTGAAGACTCAGGGAAGGCACAGGCACATGGGGGACAGTGTATTATGTCTGAAGACTCAGGGAAGGCACAGGCACATGGGGGACAGTGTATTATGTCTGAAGACTCAGGGAAGGCACAGGCACATGGGGGACAGTGTATTATGTCTGAAGACTCAGGGAAGGCACAGGCACATGGGGGACAGTGTATTATGTCTGAAGACTCAGGGAAGGCACAGGCACATGGGGGACAGTGTATTATGTCTGAAGACTCAGGGAAGGCACAGGCACATGGGGGACAGTGTATTATGTCTGAAGACTCAGGGAAGGCACAGGCACATGGGGGACAGTGTATTATGTCTGAAGACTCAGGGAAGGCACAGGCACATGGGGGACAGTGTATTATGTCTGAAGACTCAGGGAAGGCACAGGCACATGGGGGACAGTGTATTATGTCTGAAGACTCAGGGAAGGCACAGGCACATGGGGGACAGTGTATTATGTCTGAAGACTCAGGGAAGGCACAGGCACATGGGGGACAGTGTATTATGTCTGAAGACTCAGGGAAGGCACAGGCACATGGGGGACAGTGTATTATGTCTGAAGACTCAGGGAAGGCACAGGCACATGGGGGACAGTGTATTATGTCTGAAGACTCAGGGAAGGCACAGGCACATGGGGGACAGTGTATTATGTCTGAAGACTCAGGGAAGGCACAGGCACATGGGGGACAGTGTATTATGTCTGAAGACTCAGGGAAGGCACAGGCACATGGGGGACAGTGTATTATGTCTGAAGACTCAGGGAAGGCACAGGCACATGGGGGACAGTGTATTATGTCTGAAGACTCAGGGAAGGCACAGGCACATGGGGGACAGTGTATTATGTCTGAAGACTCAGGGAAGGCACAGGCACATGGGGGACAGTGTATTATGTCTGAAGACTCAGGGAAGGCACAGGCACATGGGGGACAGTGTATTATGTCTGAAGACTCAGGGAAGGCACAGGCACATGGGGGACAGTGTATTATGTCTGAAGACTCAGGGAAGGCACAGGCACATGGGGGACAGTGTATTATGTCTGAAGACTCAGGGAAGGCACAGGCACATGGGGGACAGTGTATTATGTCTGAAGACTCAGGGAAGGCACAGGCACATGGGGGACAGTGTATTATGTCTGAAGACTCAGGGAAGGCACAGGCACATGGGGGACAGTGTATTATGTCTGAAGACTCAGGGAAGGCACAGGCACATGGGGGACAGTGTATTATGTCTGAAGACTCAGGGAAGGCACAGGCACATGGGGGACAGTGTATTATGTCTGAAGACTCAGGGAAGGCACAGGCACATGGGGGACAGTGTATTATGTCTGAAGACTCAGGGAAGGCACAGGCACATGGGGGACAGTGTATTATGTCTGAAGACTCAGGGAAGGCACAGGCACATGGGGGACAGTGTATTATGTCTGAAGACTCAGGGAAGGCACAGGCACATGGGGGACAGTGTATTATGTCTGAAGACTCAGGGAAGGCACAGGCACATGGGGGACAGTGTATTATGTCTGAAGACTCAGGGAAGGCACAGGCACATGGGGGACAGTGTATTATGTCTGAAGACTCAGGGAAGGCACAGGCACATGGGGGACAGTGTATTATGTCTGAAGACTCAGGGAAGGCACAGGCACATGGGGGACAGTGTATTATGTCTGAAGACTCAGGGAAGGCACAGGCACATGGGGGACAGTGTATTATGTCTGAAGACTCAGGGAAGGCACAGTCACATGGTGGACAGTGTATTATGTCTGTAGATTTCCCAGAAGGAGACAAAAAGGTTAGGATGGGGAGGGAGGGGTGTGAAGAAACAAGTGCTTCAATTTTTTCCATATTTAATTAATGGCATAAATTTACAAAATTCACCAAACTCCAAGGTTAAAAAATCAGTAGACAACATCTAGGCACATCTGAAAACAGCCCCCAAAAGGACACATTATGATAGAAAAACTGTGTGACTCAACACCCACTTGTCATCAGAGACAAGGACCAGATGATGACAATGGCAAGACAGATTCGACACAAAGGAGAGACAATACATGCTGTATGTAGGAACCCACTGTAGCTACAAAGAGCAGGGAGAAAATAAATGCACAGAAAACACACGCTGTGAAAATAAGGACAAAGGCTGGAGGGCTACACTTCAGATAAATACATGTTAAACAGGAAACTAACACCAGAGATGAAAGAAACTGCATGACAAACTGTTCGGTATGTACTAGAACAGTGAAACCTAATAACAGCTTCAAAATAGAAAGTAAAAACATGCCGGGCAGGAGGCAGAGGCCGGCGGATCTCTGAGTTCGAGGCCAGCCTGGTCTCCAGAGCGAG